GTGTACCTCTGGTGCAAATTACTGACCTCTGTCATCATTTTAGGTGGGGGAACTTGCACAATCGGTGGCTGACTAAATACTTTTTTGCCCCACTGTACTTTGAGGAGTCAAAAGTTTAGAATACATTTTGGTCTATAAATTGATTTCATGATTTCATTTTTCACTCCAATTGCTTATTTGTACTATGCTTTTATTTCAGAGTGCAATGAAACATTAAACATCAAAGTTGAGATATTATGTTCTTAACTTGCTGAACTATTTGCCCCTGCAGTCTTTGCACAGAGTGGAAACCCTTCACACTCAAAGACTCGCTCTTTTTAGAGACAGGATAGGATTTTGATCAGATTGTTTATCTCAACAAGTGAAAAGCTGCTTCCGTAGTACTGAAAAATATTACCCTGTTTAAATGGTTTCCAAATCACTGGATTCTGTTTGATTTATTTTGGAATAAAAGACTTTGGCTTACTAAAATATTGAGACAATAACACCGATATATATAATATTCTTGAAGCTACAACTCAACTCATTTCAAAGTAGTACAGAGTCTTTTATCCCAAAAATAAATAAACAGCGAAATAAATACCTGGGAAAACCTCCTATTATATAAGATATGATCATTGAAAATGAACTCACCCTTCTTCTGTTTGGAGAGCAGCTCATCCTGGAGTGAATCGTCCTCCCATGACATCTGATCCATTTCTTCTTTGATTTATGGATAGCCACAGATAGAAATGGTCCTTTTTACTTTACTGCATTTATCTGACAGCTGTGATTACTGGATATTTTCACATTCAATGTTAAAAGCATAATAAAGAAAAAAAAATAAAGTAAAAATAACAATAACTATACACTGTTAAAGATTTAACCACTCTGGCTGTGTAGCTGCGTCCTCTTCCTTTTTAAAGAGAAATTAAATTTTATTAATTTGTTTAATCTATTTGATTTTTGTGTGAGTACAGCAAAACAACTATATTTCACATTATGAAGTTTTGTTATGTCATAATACAAATGTCTGTATAGTTACATGTTAATTAACGTTTTCTAAACAAATATTTAAACGTAACAAAAGTGCTGCATAACTTTACATCATCACTGCTGTTAGTCTATAAATGTACTCCAACAGAAGAAGTGGGGTTTTTTTTATAATTAGTACTTATCTTAGTTTTTTGAAAAAGGAATATTCCTCGTAAAGTAGAAATGGTTGATCTCAGCTGGAAAACATCCTGGACAGTTTTTTTAGTTTAAATATAATCTGCATCATTTTGAAATCTCTTAACTGTTTTTTTTATACCATCAGATATTTTTTATGAACCTGAAGCAGTAAAGTACGAGCTGTAAATGTCTGAAGTCTCTTACTACAAAGTAGTCTCAAGGCAAATGGATGTTCAACCCAGTACCAGCCAGTTATACCTAATAAAGTGGTCAGTGAGAATACAATAGGTGTATATTTTACATTTATTTTTGTGCAACCACCACTGACAGAGCTGCTGCAAAAACTGTTTAAATCTCCAGAGTCCTGTTGTGCCAATAACACGCGCTAACAGGAAACAGAAACCATAACAGGCGATAATCTGCTCTCACATTTCTTTGTTTTTTCTTAACTTTATTACATTCATTTTCTAACAACTTTCAGGGAAAAGCATTTAAATAATACTCACTTCTGCTGGTTTCAGCCACAGCTTAGTTTCTTTATGAGTTTCAAAGCAGCCAGTAGTTTGAGGAAGGCGGGAAAGCTGCTCAGTGTCATATTTCACTATTCAGGGTGTGTGTGACCTCAGTGCGCAGATGGAACATACCAACTTAAATGATCTTTTTCTCGTTTGCTTGCCACATACACACTGATAATAACACACACACACACACACACACACACAGATTTTTAGCACTGACTGTTCAGAGTTAAATCTTTACAATCTTTATAATCAGAGTCACAGCTCCCATCCACCCCCACCCTCATAAATAATGGTTTGGTCCACAGCTGCCCTCCAACTTTACAGCACACTTCCTGTCTTCTGTTGAAGTAACACACATAAGTAAGCAGAGCTAAAGCAGAGTGATTACAGTTTACACATGTGAGGATTTGGTTCAACTTTATTTATACAACTCAAAATCACAACAACAGGTGTCTCCAGGTGCTTCATACTGTAAGGTGAGGTGGACACTGGGAGATAAGAATTACATCACAGTCCTCCAACACACACCATATGTTACACCCTGAAAAGGGTTGAAAAGGGGATAAGTCAATGACGACGCTCAGACACGATGCTTCTCTTTCAGCAGCTTCATTGCGAATGAGGCATCGTGGCCAGAGTTCCCCTTCCGGGAACGGCAGATATAACGAATCAATCATGATCACTAAATCACATGGATTATTCCCCAGGCTCGACAAGTGGATCACAGATTGAATTTTACACAGGTTGTAGTCACATTAAGGATTGTTATCCGGTTGAACATAGTCATGAACTCTTTTACCGTTTTAGCCTGTGTTACATTACATCTCTTTGATGGGACTTCTTTTAACCTTGTTTATACATTTACATATTTGAAATACATTGAATAATACATTGGGTAACTTTTAACCACAACTTTTTACTCCATTATGAACTTCAACAAATAATCAATCTATCACACATACACAGGAGTCGTATTAACTACAGGATGAATACATAGTTCAGCACAAAGATGAAGCTTCTCACATGAATGTTACATCCATAGATGGGAACACAATACAATCTTACATAAACAGCAGAGTCCAACAGTGTTTGTGGGCAAGAGT